GAGCTGAAATACACCTTTTCTCCTTTAACCTGTGAGTGTCAGGTATTTTGTTTCAGCAACAAGTAACTAAGACAAGTACATATCAAGCCAATATTTGAATTGGCGTTGTCCTTCAAAATTACCCTGAGAACATGTATTTGTATTCCAGGGGTGTTGCTACTGCTCGAAACATCTTGGGCACTGCTCTTGGAAATTTGTCTCATTATTCTTTACCGTATGGTTGTAGAGTTGCCATAATTTCATAATGATGACTATTACATTACTTTTGTCACATTGCATGTTTGTAAGTGGGCAGAAGGAATATCATTCTGAGGACCAAAGTTCCCTGCTGCCAGCTTTTTAAATATCTGTGACATAGTCACCGAGTCTTGCAGAAGGACTACTGCACGGTAGGAGGAATCTGACTACAGCTCCTTTATTTCATGTGCTCAGCTCTAGCTCTCTGCTTACTAGTAATAGGACACACAATTAAGATCAAAGTCTTTTAGTGACTCCGACAAGACAGTGGCCACAGACAAAGAAAGAAAAGGTACTAGCAAAGTCCCTAAAGTATGATAAACACTATTTTGGTTCCTCCGACAAGACACAGATGTTGCTTTGATATGCAGAATACTCTGCAGTATAAATATAAAATGATTTTATGTCTTTGGTGAGACACAGGTTAAGCAGAGGAAGAATGTTACATAGGTTCCATCAAGTGAAATTCTCATTTTATTCATTTGGACCATAGAATGAGGTATGAGGTATGATCACAAAATATGATGAACATTTAAGTTAGCAAATTATAACAGTAAAAGACACCTTTCCATTTATCCCCTTCAAAAATCCCTGTTGCTTTGAACACCCTTATTCCATTGTTCTTGCCGTTTTTTGAAGCAGTTCTGAAAGTTCTCTTTCATCAGTGCCTTTAGTTACATTGTTGTGGCTGCCTCAGTGTCCTGAATTGATTGAAAACATTTACCTTCCATGATCCTTTTCACTTTGGGGAAGAGCCAGAAGTCATATGGGCCAGATCTGGTGAATAAGGTGGCTGAGGATGCACTACAATGTTTTTATGAGCTGGCCTTTCAGCTGGATGGCACTTGGCAGTAGCATTCACCGTATTTTTAAAATCATACTTTGTAAAGATGCTCATGAAAGAGCACTTTCAGAACCACTTCAGAAAGTGACAAGAATTATACAATAAGTGTGTTTGAAGAAAGAGGGAGTATTTTGAGGGGAAGTAATGGCAATATGTCTTTTACGTAATAATTAAAAAAAATTTAAACACACAGAAAACTGTTTGATCAGGCTTTCTCTTGATACTTTGGGCTACCAACACAGATTTATTTGGGTATGCTATGTGTCAGGCATGGTAACAGGTTTAGAAGGCAGTGATATATATGACCGCAGAAGCCATGAGAAGATACTGTAAGTATATATGTAGTAGTCTGGAGGCCTGGGGAGACTTTCAAAAAGTGAAGTAAAAGTGGTACTTAGAGATAAGGGAGGTAAAGGAAGAAGATTAAAGTGGAGAGAATGGCAGGTACAAAAGCTTAAAGGCAGGAATTTTTAGTATAGTAGAGCTGAATGGAAAGAAATTCTGGGTAGAGTGGAGAAGGAGAGTGTTATGAGAAGGGGCTGGCAAAGTTAGGATTGGACAGATCACTCATGGGCCAAGGTAAAGATCTTATTAAAGAGCTTAGAAGGCACCCTAAAAATAATAGGAATTCAAGAAAATGATTAATGTTTCCAAAGACTATTCATGTAGTGTCCAGGGGCTACGACTAGTGTCTTCAGCCTAGGAGCTCTTTAGGAATAACTTACAAGTCCTGATAAAGCTCCCTTTAAAAATGTTGAAATGAAAGTTGGGGAACCTGGGAGCAGAGGTGGTTTGGAACAGCATAGGGTAAAGCCGTCACTTTTGAGGCACAGGAGGGGAGCTGTCCACAAGGCAGGTTCTGAATAGAGGAACCAGGAGCCGCTTAAGGGAGCTTCACTGGAGGGAGACAAGAGGTGCATAGTGTCAATGCCTACCTCAGGGATGGGAGGAAGGGAGCGGAACTTTGTTGTTCATCTATTTTATTTTTCTCTTTCTGTTACTCATTTGCTTACTCTACTTTCTCCCATTTTCTTCTTATGGAATCCAGGCAGCTATAGTTCATTCTTCCAGAAGGAAGAGAGAAGAATGTGCTTCTTACTCCTCCTCCACTAGTGACTTCTCTTTGTGAGATAACAACAAATTCATACGAATCTCATCTTTATCTTAGGGTTGAATGACTGGTTCTTATTACAAAATTGCCCACTCTAGACTTATCTGAGACATTGGGTGGGGAGATATAATTGAACTATAGTTATTATTGATTAAGCATTTAGTGTATGGAATGAAGTTCACCAAGCACTTTATTTTCCCAAACCTATGAGGAGACTGAATTATTTTTGTTTTATAGAACATGACTTGCCTTGGAAGAGCAGAGGTTTTGATTTGTGTTATTTGTTCAGTAAGTTAATAATGAGGCCACATACCAAAGGTGTGAGGATGAAAAATTCAGGACATAAAATTCATTGATAGCTATGATGCATAGAATCTTTTGATAATCATTTTATTTAGTCTGATAACAATCCAGTGAAATTGTATGATTGTTATCACCTCGGATTCCAGGTTCCCTGATTTCTGTTCCAACATTTTAAAAGGCAGTTTTTATCAGGGCCTAGAAGTTAGCCTAAAGAGCTGCTGGGCTGTCAAAACTAGTGATGGCCCCTGAGAATTACATGAATGATCTCTTGAAACATGAATCATTTTCTTGAAGGAGAAAAATATGAGAAGGGGGTGGTTGGACATATCACACATGGACCTAAGTACAGGTCTTACTAGAGTCCGGAAGGCACCCTGAGAATCTCCAACTTCTTGAGGCTCAGAGAGGTTAATAACTGGATGAGCCGGTTCTATGTTTGTGACGATCTGATTCTAAAGCCTATCCATTTCCATCCACAGAGCTTCTTGATTTCCGTGGAGCAGTCACATCTACATTTTAGTTTGATTTTAGCAAGTGAAAACCTCTGGCCTTATTTCTCCTGCAGTTCTATTTGCCTTGGGTCTCACTGCCTCCTATATTACCTCCAGCTCTGGTGGGAGGGGAGGCCCTTGCAGCCACAGAGCAAGCCAGTGCCATGCAGGTTCCCTGTGTTCCCTCTTGTTTTCTATAACTGCACACTTATCGGGTCATGAAGCGTCATCCAACCAAGCTGGCCTTTGGCTGAATCCCGACCGGACACTTTGGTTTCAGTATCAATATTGAAAGTGTCAATCTGGTAACGGCCTGTAACAGGGAGGAGGGAGGCTGAGAACAAAGTCTTCCTTACATGAAACTCTAGCTGATGCGAGTGAACACAGTCAACTTTTTACTTGCTTTAAATCCCCTGGAGTGGCTATGAAAGAGAGAGGACTTGCTGGATAGAAAAGAAAAAAACCCCTTTGATTCATCTGAATTAATTTTGCATCTCCCCGGAGGGAGGTTCTGGCATCACGCTCATTTTCTCCCTCCCCTGTGCACAGCCCTCACAATCCCAAGAGCACAAGACTACTCTGGGGTGGGTAGCGTCCACTTTCCCTCTCCTTCCACTTTAATGCAATCCATTTGTCCTGGGGTTACTCAGCCTCGGTATGTCCATGGGCTTTGATGTGTAACCCATTCACATCTGAAGGAGTAAGTGGACATTCAGTAGGGACGGTGCCTTCTTCCCATGACAGCAGAGCTCCTGTGCCAAGCTCTGGGGGAGGGCAGACTCTGTGAGGTGTAGGTATAGAGACTGAAACCCAGATTCATATCTACAAAGCCACATGCCAACTGGAATCACGCTCCACTTTCCCTCCAGCCCTTGGCCCTCAGTTTTCAAAGGTAGATCCACCAGGATGATAATTTGCATGTTTTAGGAGACTAATGCCAAAGCTACTCTGAATTACTGGATTTTATGTTTAGCCTATAAAAGATGTGTTTCCTTGATCAGTCCATTTATCTGTCTCCCTTATAGAAACGACTCCTTTTTGGTCTGGGACAGGTCAGCACCAACCATCTGTATGACCCAGCAGAGCATCCCATGAGTGCTTCTGTAGTATGCTTTAGGCTGACTGCAGGTGGCAGAATAGAGCCATCCTGGGGAGACAAGTAGCAGCTGAACCCCTCAGGTTACTATTCCATTCCAGAGCCTGCACAGTTAATGATTTTCTAGCCCAGTCCTTTCTGTTAAAGATGAGGAAACAGGCTCAAGGAAGTAAGGACCTTATTCAAGGTCACAGGGGTCATTAGTGATAGAATCCAAATAGGAACCAGGACCTTTGTAGGCGTTCTCTTCTCTTTATTGAAGAATTTGCCATCTCCCTTCATCAGGCTGCCGCAGGACCTGGCTCAGCAGAGCAGTGGACAGAGGGTCATGTCTGGGTGTCAGTTCTGCCCCTGGTGCCCGTGTGCAGGCCTGTTACTGCTTTGATTTTCAGTTTCTCCCCTTGTAAGAGGACAGGAATGGACAATTGATGATAACACCTACTCTACTTATCTCAAAGGAAACTAATGCATAGGTAAAAACAAAATGCAAGGAAAAAATAAAATGTCCAATGAGGAAAGTAAGGAGAAATACATCACATAAGAGAAAATGCTACTTACAAATAGAGCTCAATTATTATTGGGGAGCAATGTGTCTCAGTGTTAGTTCTGCCTCTAGGTAGATACTGGAGGTGGCCAATCAGGCCCAGTGAGAGGGGAGAAGATGCATGCTCGTTAGCACCGTGATTCCTTGGAGTATGTTGTGATCTCAGTGACCTGCAGGAAGTGTGCATGTCCACATGTGTGTGTGCGTGCATCTGTCTAGGGCAGTGGTGGTGAGACCACGGCATGCATGCTGCAGCAGGCAGTTTGTATCACCGAGAGCTCTAGAAGGTTCACCATCACTGGTCTAGGGTAAAGCGCACAGGAGGAAGGAAGACATGGCAAGAAAGGGAGGAGAGGGAGTAGGTAGAGGCTCACCTGTCAGACACATTGAGGAGGGGAAGCACTGTCCGCTGCCACAAGCTCAAGCCTTCATTGGTGGCCTCGTGCCAGACCATCCTGCTTTGCTCCTTCCCTGTTTTGTTCTCCACCAGCACCAAGGACACGTTTCCCCTTAAGACTCCACGGATGAGCCAGGACATTCTGAGCTGTGAGGGAGAGGACAGCCAGAAGACAAGGTGTCAAAGTTGACAGGAAACCTTAGATCTCCTTCTTGGAACTCTCAGTTGATGCCTGGAGGATTTTTGCTCCAGACTCAGCTGAGGTTGGTCCAGTGGTGGCAGGGGCACCACCTGATCTCATTCATTGCCTCCCAAAGTGCCTTTCATTAAAGTTCAAGGAGCTGAGAAGGGACAACCAGTGGGCAGTTCTGGAGCTTTGCTCAGGTTGATGATATCCTACATTTCTCGAGTCTACTTGTGAGGCAGCTAAGTGGGGTATTCAATGAACTCCCTAAAGATCAGAGATTTTTGTCTACAGCCCCAATTCACATTGTGACCTTATTCAAGTGATTATTTTAGTCTTAGTGATTTAGGTATAATAGATTTTTATTCTTTCCCCAAATACTCTAATAATCTTACTTACACAGTGCCATGTCATGTGTTTGGTAACTGAAGACTATGACTTGGTAGGCAAAGGTTTGACAAAAACCTGCTTATAAAGATCTTTTACTATGGTTGTCTTCCAGAATGAGGAGGCCAAAGGAAGCTATAATCATGTTTTCATTGTGTTTTTATTAATGGTTTCCATGCCATTGTTCTCTTGAGCTTTGAGAGGGAACTGTAACGAATAATCTTTCAAAAGAAGTTGAAATACAGTCATGTTCAGAGGCAGAACTACAAACAAGGTCTCTGATCATTTTGTTTCAAATAAGAGGTTGTATGTTTGATACAAATAATCTATACACAACACCTAAAACTTAAGGCAACTACATCATATCTCTCCCCAAAATATCCCTATTCAGATCCTTAAATAAAAATGTCCATTATAGAAAGGATAAAGCTGGAGTTCTATTCAGCTACAGTACCCACGTTCTCTGGCTCTCATAATTTGAAGACCTGCTTCTCCTAGTTCCTAACTCTTGGTTGCCTTACAGTTTGATTGAAGAGGTTAAGTACCACAAGGCATGAGGCCACATCTACGCCTCAGAGTCCCTAGGGCTGATCTGCTTAGGAAGCCTGATCTAAAACCACAGCCTCTTCACTTTTGCTTTTCCCATTTCCCCTTGTCCACCTTTGAAACCTCCCAGGATAATTGGGGGTCGCTTGGTTTTCTTCTGTGTCTGGATGCCATGATTAGAAATTTTAATCCTATCCTTCCTTGCTAACTTTAATCTCTCTCACCCTTCAGCCCATGCCATGTGATGTGCCTTGCTTGGGATCATACCTGACATATGTTTCTCTCCTTTTTCCCTTTGGATGGAAAACACTGTGGATCTGGACTCGTACAAACGCAGACTGTTGAGCCTCAGTGGCCTGGATGACTAGTGTCGTAGTCATACTCTGTGGACTTCCACATTTGATTTCTGGATACACGTAGTACAGTAGGTGTTTCAAACACACCTTCCAACACTGCTGCTTACAGCTACTCATCCCCAAACCCTGATCTATTAATTTGACTTCCACTTTACTGGGAGAAAGATCTACTACAGCAGTTACAATCTCTGCGAGGTAGCTCTCTAGCTTGTTTTCTCCCTGACCCCACTGTGTAGCATAAGAAGCATCTATTTACCCACCCTTTCTCTTTCTTTTGTGTCTTAGAGGAAGGTGCATCTTTCAATTTCTTTTCTGTTAGTTCCACCCCATCTCACCTCCCCAGACCCTTGCTCTTCCAGTTACTGTCCTCTTTCCTTCAGCTGCTTCAGTCTCTCTATCTTCTGGCTTCTCATCTATAAAGAAGATCAGATTCCACTCACTCTGGCAAACTATCCTTTATTTAATTCTGTTAACCCCTCTGGCTCACAGCCATTTCTGTACCTCCATTCAGAAGTTAAGATCTTGGACAACTGGGATGTTACTGCTGCTTCCATTGCCTGGCTGCCTCTTCTCTTTTGAAATTCCTTCAATCTGGCTTCTACCTTCACTTCCTCAATACTTTTAACAAAGTAAGTCTCACCAGGTCCTTTATAATTTATTTCCAAACTCTCCCTGTGGCCTCCTAAAGTGCCTCTCCCTCTCATTCTTTGTCCCTTCTGAATTCTTTTGTATATCTCAGTCACATTTTCCCGTTTATCACAGTCATCTGTGACTCACAGCTCAGCAACCTCCAATAGTTTTTCATTCCCTATTGAAACATCAAGACAATAACATTGTGTATAATCTAAGGAAATCAACTTTTTAGTCATTCAATAAATACTTATTGAGGATTTATGCTAACTCCATTCTAGCTTGGCCTAAGAGCTCCAGAATTAAAGAGATCTGGATTCAAAGCCTGTTTTTGACACTTTGGTCAAGGTATTTAATTGTTTTAAAGCTTAGTTCCTCTTCCCTAAGATAGGAAGAGTTTAATCTATTTTATAGAGTTACAGTGACTATTAAATGAGGCAATAGACAGTGTAACAAAAAGTTAAAAAGTGGTTTTGGCCGAAGCACTGAGATAGTACATAGCATACTTCAAAGCGAAGTGTGGGAATGCAAGACACAGGACTTTCAGGACAGGTGGGTGAAAACAGGTTACAAGGTTCATGACCTCTTTTCCATAATTTGGATATAAAAAGCAGATGTTTTGATGAGAAGTTTTGGAATATGCTTCTGGCAAATCATGAGCTCTGTCTCATCCTCCAGTTAAGAAGGCAGATGGGGCAGGGTTTTCGCCTCATCCCGTCAAGGGAGAATGCATTTACGATCCCACGTGGAGCACTTGACACTTATCCCTTGTATTTTGGGGAGCACAGTGAATGTGTGTCTCTCTTCTACCTGGAAAAATCAGAAGTTTGAACTAGGGGTTGGTTAGCTGCTGTAACAGCAAAACAGGCGAGGTGGCAGCATCGGGCGCTGGGACAAAGAAGTGCATGAGTGTGGCACGTGGGCTAGAGGGGAGCATGTGGCTCATTTTAGAGCTTGTCCAAGAGGGCTGTGTGGAGGGTAAACAGACCACAGCAGAAAGAAGCTGCTGGTATCTTGAGATGCCCACTGGTGGATGGAGGTGGAAGTGACTACCTGCAATGGCCATGTATAGGCTCTAGTCAACAAGAAAGACTCCCAGCCACCGTGGCCGTGGAAGTGGCAAGGAGAAAGGTAGATCTCTGAGGGAGCCGTAGATGTGAGAAGCAGTAAGCCGCAAACACTTGTCACAGCCTGGAGATACTAATGCCCGATCAGCACAACAGTACCAGTCAAGAAAGACTGTTCTAGCTCCCCTTACTTCTCTCTCTTCCTGTAGTGTAGCCCCGAAGGGTCAGAGGTCAACAAGTGGCAGAGAGGAAGAGAGGCTGGTGGAGAACCAGAGAGGCCACTGACCTGATTTCCTGCCGTCCATCTGCAATCTGCCAACTGTGGTGGGGTCGGGAAGGAAGAGAAGCCATGCCTTGAAGTAAGGCCGAAGTTCTGACTGGTTGGCCATTTGATTACTAAATAAGCCCGTGCCTTTGTTTCAGGGTGAATAGAGAGGTATGGAGTGGTCTGATCAGCAGCATCTGGCAGGGTTTTTACCCAGTAGCGCACTCATGGGAGTTCCATGTAGGGGCTTCTCGGACTCCCCCACACCAATACTTATACCTGTCTTGTACTGTTTTGCTTCTGTGACTGTGCTTCTTCTATTTTCTCTACTTGCTCTTTCCTTCTCTCCATTTAAAAAGAGGAAATCTATTTCCTTTGCAGAAACCCTTCTTCCCAAAATCATTCTTCCCAGAATTGACTTTCTCTTCCTCTGAAGTGCTATGACTGAAGCTGCCAGGGCCCTCATGAAGTGCAGCCTTACTGCCTGATCTTCCCTCCCTGCCCTCCCTCTCTTTGGGCCACAATGTCTTCCAAGGCAGAGACTGTCTTATTTATTTTGTATTCAATGGCTGTCAGGTGAAGACACATGGTATGGCTGATCAGTGTCAGAATAAAAAGCTACACATACATAGGCAGCTGCTCCTGTTGTTACCAGACTTCCCTCTCAAGGACAGTAAATCATCTTTCCATCCTGTGAAGCTCATTTGTACTTTCCTGCATTCTGGGGGCCAGGTTTCAGAGAGGGGGAGAAGACCCCCCATTTCCCAGTCCCCTGGCTATATTCTAATCTTCCCAATTCTCAGCTGCACGTAGGAAGATTTCAGTTTGAGGTAGAGTCTGCTGATGGGATGAGCATGTCAGTGGAACACAGCAGTGATGTCTATGCTGGGACCATGGGCCAGCAGGCTGCTGAACTGGGAGCGTGTGCTCCACAGTTACAGCGCACTAACTGTGTGACCTTAAGACTACTGCTTATCTCCCCCGGGCCTTTATTTTGTTATAGAAAAACTTGTGATCATAACCATACCTTCCCTGTCCACTTTAAACAGTAGTTACAAAGACTAAGCGAGTTAAAGAATTTTGTGAATCTCTTGGTGAAACCAGTAGTTTTCAACCTGGGTTCCCAATCAGAATCATCCAGGGAGCTTTCCAAACTGCCCATGTTTGGGCCCCGCCCCAGAAACTCTGACTTCAGTACCCTTCGGCAGGTTCTGGGCATCAGCAGGCTTTAAAATCCCTCTGGGCGATTCTAAAGTGCAGGCTGGGTTGAGACCACCGGGGCGACAGGGTTACTTAGGGCAGTAAGTAACCTGGCCCTATCAGTGAGGGGTCCATTTTCATCTTCGACTTGGAGTAAAAAGCCATTCTTAATCGCTAAGAAATGGCTTATAATGTGCCCAACCGCAGCAAGGTATAGAGAGGGTGCTTCTCCACATGGGGCTGTCACACTGGCTCCAGACAAAAATTGTGAACAACCCACAAATGAGCGACTCTTGGGCTGAGAGTAAAAAGAAATGACCCGAGACAGAACTCTCCTCTTGGACTGAAGGGTAAGGTTCTCACTGGTTTCTTAATCAGGAGAACTGGATGACTTAGGTGAAGTGTTATTGAATCTCTCTTGTTAATTATCTGTGTCTAAGGGCAGAGAAAACTGTGACCCTAAAGCAGACGGCAGGCTCAGGTCCCCTTCAAAGACTTCTCTTCGCTTTATC